TAAATGGTGAAGAAGTCTCAAGCGAAATGTCAGGGCCGCCCTTTCGACCGGCCTCGGGGTGCGACAGGGAGGAATTATTATCCACAAGGAAAAGATGGAGGGGGAGGAACGAATAATAATAACAAGAAAAATAAGAAGACGAATAATAATAACAAAAAAAACCGAAGAAGACTCGGCCTTGCGTGTGATTCCGTGCTGTGCTTGCTACAGACCGCGCAAAGCTGGAACACCATGGAAACCTCGAGCTATCGTCGACCCTAGGAGGAGGAGGAGCGAGGAGCGAGCAGGAGGAGCGAGGAGGAGGAGCAGCAGCAGCACTGAGGAGCGAGGAGGGGGAGGAGCGAGGAGGAGCAGCAGCAGCAGCAAGGAGGAACGGCAACAAGAAGACCAGGCCGAGGAGGTGGAAGAGAAGGGGGCGTGGTCTGCGGCGGCGAAGGCCGCGTCGGGCGGGCGTCCGAGCACCTCGAGGGCCGCGGCCCATTGCGCCGTCACGTCCGCGCGGGAGCCCGCCTGCTCCGCAAGGAGCGCGCCACCTGCGGCCGCGTGTTTTCGCTGCAGTCGCCGACGGCCACCGCCGCCGCTCTCTCGCCGTCGTCGTCGTCCGTCGTCCGTCGTCGGTCGTCCGTCGTCATCGATGTCGTCGTCGTCATCGATGTCGTCGTCGTCGTCGTCGTCGTCGTCGTCGTCGTCGTCGTCGTCGTCGTCGTCGTCGTCGTCGTCGTCGTCGTCCTCGTCGTCGTCGTCGTCGTCGAGGTCGTCGTCGCTGCCACCGCCATCATGCCCGCCACCGCCGTCGTTGTCGGCATCGTTGCCGCCGTAGTCATCGTGACAGTGCCATCGCTGCCGTCGTCTGGGAAGGAAGCAACGTCGTCGTCGCCGCCGTTATCATCACCATCGCAATTCGCTCCTCTCGCTCCCTGCTCCTCCTCCTCCTCCTCCTCCTCCACCTCGTCCTTCTCGTTCCCTCCTCCTCAGAGGCTCCTCACACGCCTGCATAACGGAGATGTCGACTTCCGTTCTGGCGTTTTCTTCCACCATTCTGGACGTTTTCCCTTTCCTAGGATTTTTGAAACTCCAAGGGCTCCTCCTCCTCCTCCTCCTCCTCCTCCTCCTCCTCCTCCTCCCCCTACTCCCCACAAGGGCAAACTTGCTTGTATTTGCAGGAGCCCCACTGGCTCCTCCCCTGATCGAGTGGCTCCAGGACGGCGCCTCTGGGATCCAGTGGGCGCATAAACGGCGAGAACAAGCGAGCGAGAGAGAGAGAGAGAGAGAAAGAGAGACAGAAACATATTCCGACGCAGTCAGGACAATCTCCCAATCCTGACAGGAGGGAGTAAGAGGGGATGAGGAGGCGACATTTTTACGAGCTTCTCTGAGACTTTTGAGAATCATCGGAATTCCTGCCAGCACTTGTGCTGCGTGGGGCACGTCCGGAGGAGCAACAGCACCGATCCCCAAGCAGCAGGGATTGCACTGAAGCAGACGACCTTTTTGGCTGGGCAGGGCAGCACGCTGCCCAGTTACGCACTTCGGCCCAGCTCCTCTGCTCGCCTTGGCCTCATCAATGTAGTTTGGATCTGACGCTTGGCTTACCGCAGCACCGCTTGCGCTGACCCGCAGCACTGTACCAGCTATAATTCCGGACCTGAAAATTGCCAGATACTCATTTGGCAACACATACGGTGCACAAGCACGTTGTGCTGTGCAACTCACTGTAGCTTGTCTGGGAATTGCACAACCACCTTAGCTGTAGTTGCGTTGAGTCTCAACTTGCCATAGCTCCCAAAGACAACGACGACGACGACGACGACGACGAAGAACCACCCCACATCCACAAGGGGAGGGCGGGGGGTGCACTGGCACCCTCCACCACGCGCGGGGTACAGGCGGGGGGTGCACGACCACAAGGGGAGGAAACGATCCCATTCGCGAGGCCTTCGCGAAGCTCACGAGCGTACCCATCCAGCGGGGGGGGACGGGGGGGCTCGATCCCGTAAGCCTTGGAGGGGGAGGGGGGGGCAACCCTGGACCATGTATGCTGCTCCCTTCGGATTTCGCGGGGCACATTCCCATCTTGGGGAGTGGGCCAAAGTTTCATCACGCCTACGTATGCATTGGGGGGGGGCACACTGGATCATATATGCTGCTCCCTTCGGGTTTCGCGGGGCACATTCCCACCTGGGGGAGTGGGCTGGTGAGCCCGATGGGGATGGGGATCCCTGAGACGATACCGAGCCTCCTCCGCGCACCTCTCCCCCCCCGCCTGGGGTAACCAAAAGGTACCGATGCCGCAACTCCCCGGACCTCTCTAGAGGGCAGAAAATCCACCCCCGTAATGATCACCCCGACAAGCGAAGCCAGTTGGTAAACGCACCCAAGGCAGGAATCGAACATGGCAGGGCTGTTCAATTAATAAACGTCCAGGGCCGCTTAGTAAAGGTCACTTGTCGGGTCTGGATGGTTTTTCCTCCCTTGACTCTCCAGGGGTATGTTCTCACCAGAATTTCGAAGCGAATCCAGCGGTGGCGACGAAGTCCTTCCAGGAGGCCCAGAAAGGCACAACACGAGGGCAGGGACGCCTCGCCATCGCTCGGACGTCCATTCCCTGTACATTCGTGGGTTTCGTGCGTGTGTTTTTCGCGAGATGATCCAAGATGCTCCTCGAGGCTCCTGGCCGAGAAAAAAATCACACGTCCGAGGGATGCCAAGTAGCGGTATGGGTACCTGTTCCTCCTCCTCCTCCACCTCCTCCTCCTCCTCCTCCTTCTCCACGCTCCCTCCACCCTCCCTCCTCCTCCTCCTCCTGCTCCTCCTCCTCCTGCTCCTCCTCCTCCTCCCCCTCCTCCTTCCCCCTCCCTTTCCTCTGGCCGCCCTCGCCGCGCCGTCGGACGACGGCAGAGGGCAGCGCCCGGCGCGGCGGGGCGCGCCCAGCTCCAGCGGCTTCCCCGCCACCAGCGCGGCAGACGGCTGTGGCGCCGGGGATGTGCCCGGGCCGGCAGCCTCCCGCGGCAGGCATGGGAGGCAAATCTGCACAGAGAGGAGGAGGAGGAGGAGGAGGAGGAGGAGGAGGAGGAGGAGGAGGAGGAGGAGGAGGAGGAGGAGGAGGAGGAGGAGGAGGAGGAGGAGGCGGAGGAGGAGGAGGAGGAGGGAGGGAGGAGGAGGAGGAGGAGGAGGGAGGAGGAGGAGGAGGAGGAGAGGAGGAGGAGGAGGAGGAGGAGGAGGAGGAGGAGGAGGAGGAGGGGGTCAGCGACACCCAATGACTCCCCCCAGCATTCCAGGCGGAAGTGCTTTGGGTAGTCAGGTCTTCCATGCCATTCGTCCTCTTGGGCAGCCCTTTGGCCCTCCCCTGCCCACCACGCCTGGGGCCTTAATCCCTCGGGGTGGGTGGGAACTTCTAAGATGGCTGCGGATCGGCCATGACGGCTCCAACGCCCCCAACGATATCCACAAGGAGCCCAAACCCTTCGAACGTATAATGTTTCAACGACTTGTTGATTCCTGGGCACGTGAGGCACTCGGCACTCGGGCCCACAAGGGTGATGAGCGGGCCGCGCTTGGCCGCTGTTTCACTCTCTTCCTCCTGCTGCTTCCTCCTGGTCGACCGAGAAGCTCGCACAATCGAAGCAGATCGAATCGAGTCCGGTCCGTGAAGCAGAGGAGTCGCCCTCAGGGGTGCGTCACTGGATCTATCCATGCCGTGGGCAGGCATCGGTACACATCATCGAATCAATCGGACTGCAGACAGCTGTGAAGACCCCCTCCCCCGCGCTCTATCGCCCCTTTCCTCCTCCTCCTCCTCGTCCTCCTCCTCCTCCTCCTCGTCCTCCTCCTCCTCTTCCTCCTCCTCCAACTTCGAAGTGCCCGCTTCTCTGACCGAGAGGGCACCCGAATTCACAAAGTGATCAAGGTGCCACAGAAATGCGCACGTCGGTCCTGGAGACTCTTCTGGCCCGTCCTTGACCTCTCGCGCGTGCGAGGCGGGAGTACCAGTCGCAAGACTCCCCCTCTTTCTAGGGGCACGCCAGACATCCACCAACACTGACCCAAGCCAAGCGCATCCTACAAGACTGAGCCTCAAGATCGGCCTGGCGAGAACCGATGCAGAAAGATACGCGCACCCGGCGCCTCCAGCACACACCTCGAGCGCGTCCCCCCAGGGCTGGCTCTGCACCCCGAGGGGCTCTCTGGCGGCCTCTTGGGGCCCAAGGCCCGAAACGGGCCCCCAGAGGCCGTGAGCATGCGCAGTATGCCCCTCTCGACGTTCCCACGACGCTCGGGGATCTTCCCCCCTTCATGCGGATCAGCGGGTCCCCCAGCCCCACGGGGAGGGAGAGGAGGCGGAAGATGGGAGAGGACTGCGCAAGGGAGGGGGGACGGATCAGGGGCTTGGGATGATGATGTTCGGCAGGTGGAGCGGCCATCAGAGCTCCTGGCGTTCCTTCAGCTGCGCCTTCTTGCATGGGTGCTGCTCCAAGAAGGGGCGGGGAAACATGACAGGCTTGGGGTGCGAAGGCGAAGCGACCCCCCATCTGGACCGCGCGGCCGCAGAGAAGCGAAGGGAAGAAATCAGAGGCCCCCGAATTGCACGTCAGGCGTGCCAGTGCAGAGGAACGGGTGCAAAGGCAAGGAATACCAACTGCGTCCCGCGTTCGCGGGTTCTCGCTTTGCTCGCGCAGCTTGGGGGCGCGCTTGCGCGCAATGGCGATTGAGTTTGAAGGCGCGTATCGAGCCGAAGGAGCCGCGGCGGGCGAGCGTAGGAAGGAACGGCACTGGAAGAGGAGGCTGACGTGCGCATGACGACCAGCGAACTGCAATGACGCAGGCGAGATCGGCGGGAAAGATCACGTGGAGGAGCCACGAGTTGGAAGACGAGGAGGAGGAAGAGGAGGAGGGGGAGGGGAAGGGGGAGGGGGAGGAGGAGGAGGAGGAGGAGGAGGAGGAGGAGGAGGAGGAGGAGGAGGACGAGGAGGAGAAGGAGGAGAAGGAGGAGAAGGCGGAGG